AGGGAAAGAGAAGCCACCATTCTGTGATACACAGCATTGATTCAAGCTACATCTTGGCAGTAACCCCAGTATGGAGTTCCAAGTTTAGACTGGCTCCTCTGTGGCATGATTAAGAGTGAAGTATGAGGCTGTCATACGTGTGAAACAAATTATGTTCCTGTAGTTCGTTATCTGGCAGAGGTGGCTCAAGTTTGAATTTTCTAAATACTGCATACTCTCACCTCAAAATGACAGGTACACCAAGGCCTACAGAGACTGGCACAGAAGGAATTAAATTCAGAAGATAGTCCAAACTTCATCCATCATATATAGATTTTTCAACTACAGTGTTATTGAATATGACATCAACTTAGAGATACTCCAAGGAAAACCAATTATTTTTCTTCTCTCTGATGATATACAGCTGTAATAACATGCCATGCACAACTCTCGGAAGACATGCTGATGTGCTATCAGTTCCAGGAACCCAAAATGAACCCACATGTAGTTGGTAGCTGGATTTTTATTCTGTTGGAAAATGTATCTAACTCTTGACAACCAATTCTCTTTCTCTCAGTCTGACAAAGGTGGGCTTTCCCCCCTTCCGGATTTTAGGGCATGAGCGAAGCACATGATGATCTAAAGTAAACTTACCCTCTTTGTTTAGTGTAAATAATTCTGTCCACTTGAAGGTTTAGAAAAATGGAAACAGGGCTCTGTTTTCTTTATTTTATTTCTTTCCTTTCCCTAGAGATTGCTTTCCCTTTTATTTTATGTTCTACTTGCATAACAGTGTTCATTTACAATGTCTTCTAAAGAATTACTTGAGGTTTTATACATACAGACACACATACATATATTTTTTTTAATCAACTGCCTCAAAAATTGAAAAAACAATATGCTTTACACACTTAACATTAAAGGGAGTAGACAAGGAGTTTACATGTATAATATGCTACCTCTAATGGTGTCTTTAGTATCAGAAAAAAAACAAAATGAAATTAAGTTATTCAAGTAAGTACATTGCCAAAAAATCATTACTAAGTTTCTTTATCAAAAAATAAATACAACCGACTATAAATTTTCCAGTATTTTCCCCTCATTGTTGGTCTCTTAATTTATAGTTACCTTCGAGGGGCCAGGTAGGTGGTATGGTGGTTAAGGCACTGGACTCCCTCATGGCCAACCATAACTTGAGTCCCAGACACTGGGCGTGTGGGTGTGTGCATACCCAAAGTCTTAGGAGGCGACTAGAAGAAAGGGGATTATGGCATGGCCATCCCCCTGTGTGTGTGTTGGGGGGGGAGGGTGTCTTTGTCTCTCTCTAGCAACTGCATGCACCCTATGGTCAAAATCTAAAGAAAAAAGAGAGAGAGAAAAAAAAAACAATATCAAAAATAGTTTACTTGTGTTAGCATTTGAAGTTTGGGAATGAGCAGAAGAGAAATAGGTAACACTCATTTTGAGTCAGTATTATGACAATATTTAGGTAGAAAGAAGGCTAGAGATTAAGTGTTAGATTAAAATAAACCTAGAAGTTTAGTTTTTCTCTTCAGTTCTCCATTACCTCTCTTTTCCTTCCTCAATGTCTTACTTAACTCTACTTAATGATAGTTTGATAACAGATGTGCCTTTGATAACACTTGGATAACTCTATTTCATGATAGTTTGATAACTACCCCCAGAATACCTATATGTTTATACGCATTTGTAATCAAAGAGAAAACAATTCTCCAAAAGAATTCCATAGTACAAAAGATTTTCCAATAAGGGCAACCTGGATTCTGCCAAAGGATACAAGTGTTCCCTGACATTAAATGAGCCTCTCTGCTCATCAGGTTTGGCCAGTCATACTTCGTAGACATAGGTAATATAGATAAAGGAATATAGGAAACCCTAAGGCCTCCCCTGCATCTTCTGGAATTTATAAAGAGACTGGTGAAGACAAAATTGCTGTGAATCATGGTAGAGAGAAAAAGGAGTTCTCAATGTGAGGGCTACTGTTTTCTGAAGAATTCTTGTAGATAAAATTAATTTGGGGGTCCCTTGGCCTTCTGATACATATGGAGAGTTTAGAGATGCTCTTTGTAATTCCCCTGGAATCTTCCCTTAGAATAATTAAATCTGTACAGAAAACACAGTAGGAATGCTGTAAGCCAGCCTAAAAGTCCACCAGAACACCAAAACATTCCCTCAACCTAGAAATAGTAATTGGCAAAATCTTTATCACATCTGGGTACCCATAGTATATGCTGTATGCAATATATTCAGATCGCTCGACAGCCTCTTGGGGCACGTAGATGTCACACACTTGAATTGTACATTGGCACAAATTGCCTAGAAGAGAACAGGAGTGAGAAATAAGATATTCAAATGGGTTCTATTGATAGAGAATATGAAACTGGGGCTGGAACTTCCTAGACAGAGAGTAATTCTAGTCCCTTGTGATTATGCGCAACACTGATTTATCTGGGGAAACCATAGGTACTCTGTCCAGTCTTATGAAATTTTATAAAATTGAGATCTTTATTTCAAGGCATATAAATTGATATTTATTATAGAAGATTGGTGGGATTTTATTGATAACATTATTTGTAGCTATGTAAATCTTGCACTCTGAGTCTCTTGAGAGTTCAACCATTCTGTCAAATTTTCTTCTTGACAATGGGGATTGAGTGCTGTATTCCAGCTCTACTAAAGAAGATAGGCTTTCAGAAAGTGCTTTATTGTTGTGATCGCTCAAGTATTTACCTTACAGTCTATCTTCTGAAGACAGGTTGACATATAATTGGACCTTAAACAATAAGACTTTTATGGAAGAATTGTATGCGGCATAGCTCCATAGTAACCACATGTGAGGTCAGCTTGACACTGCCCAGTATCTATGCCAGAACTCTTGGTTCATTTCGCATATGGCTAACTTGTTGGAATTGACCCACTGTACATTGAAGTTTTGAGGATAGAATGAGTCAGTTCCTTTGATTTAGGACCAAAGCCTTGGAGTGATGTTTGACTAGGAATTACTGGATTGTTATGTAAGAGAATAGATTTATTTTTACATTGATAAGCTAATAGCTCTGAAATGTTGACAGTATAACTCTGGGTCCACATCACTTTATATTCTCATGCTTTTTAATGCTAAAACAATAGATTTTTCAATCCCAGCAGTTCTGATTGGCATTCTGTCAATGCTAGTCATCCTTGTAAATTCCATTCAAATGCAGTCAAAACCTTCCCACAACTTTTACCGTTTACAAAGTGGCTTTTCTTTAAACCCTCCTGATTCCTTAGAACTATCCTCGAATTCTTACAGATCAGGCAAACTTCTTTACACATCATCCTGACCCCTCTACAGATTAGGACATGTATACGTGGGTCACCAAGATGCTACTTTACTTTAAGACTCCTCCCACCCCATCTTTACCACTTCCATCATAGTCACCATGTCACACATGTGCAATGCCTCCATTCTATATCAGAATTGAAGTATCCCCCCAACACATAGGTATCAGGAAATAGATGAATGGAATAT